GAACTTATGGAAACAGCAGAATTGTGGCTATTAGGCTTCAATGTGGGTCTTTTAACAATGGGGAAACGATTGGTTTAGGATATAAAACTGCAGTTGGACAAGAGACATGGACTCTCTGAAGTCTTGAGGTCTACTGAGAGCATGATAAATATGGTTGATAACAATATGCTATATTTTAAAAATTGTGAGATAGTATACTTTAAGTGTTCTCAAAACAAAAATGATGAATATGTGTGATATAACATGTTAATTGGTTTAAGTTAGCAATGCCATTGTGACTATACTGTATTGTGTATCATAATTGTGCATGACTTTATTTATGAGCTAAATAAATGAATAAAAAACAAAGAAAACAAATACGTTACATAAAAAACATGGAAAAAATGAAAAAATACTAACAGTGGTGCATTGGACAGATTGTGGATGACTTTAATTTCCATTTGCATCGTGTGTGTGTGTGTGTGTGTGTGTGTGTGTGTGTGAGAGAGAGAGAGAGAGAGAGAGAGAGAGAGAGAGAGAGAGAGAGAGCAGGAAAAGTTGTATGAAACTATGCGTCTACTTTGGTTCCACAGCTAAATAAGAAAAGGGCTTTTACTTTTGTGTTTTGGAGTCCAGTGAACATGGTTGGAGATGGCAGCAAAATGGTAATGGAGTAGGGTCGACTGAAAACTCCAAATGAGGAACAATGATTTTCAGCCCTGTGTGAGTTCTTAAACCTCGTATTTACTATTTTTCCACTCATCTGTTTCCTGGATGTGGCTGCAGTGTCACTTAGGAGGATAGAGGGTCATCTGAAGAGAGCAGAGACGGAGGAGGCAGCATCTTGCTCTATGACCCACCTGATAGGGTTGAGTGCATGTGCAGAGAGACAGGATTAAATGGGTGTGTACCAGAGCATGGAGCAGATAGTCTTTGAGCTGGGAGAAGGTGGAAAGGGTTGGTAGGATGAAGACAGAGAGGGCTTAGGGGCAGATGTCTGGGAGTAAGGACTATTCCAATATTTACTGTTCTGAGAACAGGAGGCTCTCACACATGTCACCAGACATTTTTGAAAACCTGGAACTACTCCAGTCACAGGAATCCAGTAGCCCTGAAAGTCTTTACAAGGAGAAAAGGAAAGGATTCTTCTGTGGAGAAACTGCTTCCAGGTGAAAAGTAAAGTTGTGCTTGGTATGTGCAGGAGACTGGCTCTAGTAGCCCCTGCAGAGAGCAAAATCTTGAGATGCTGGAGTGTCTCACATGAAATACTGTAGTGCTGGCATCTTATCTACATTTCCTCCTATCTATTTAAAACCATCTCCATGATTTATAATGTCCACACAAGCTAAATGCTATCTAGGTAGTGTTGTAAGGTTTTGCTTAGGGAATAATAAGATAAATCTGTATGTGTTTACTACAGACATATTTTTTCTACCACTATCTTAGGTCCTCTATTGACTGTGTCATTGAGTATGACCCGTGTAGATGCAGAGGCCAGACTATCCTGGAACCTACTACGAGGAAAAGCAGTTTAACCAACAGCAGAGATCACCATTCAACAATCAGTATCCATGCAAAAACAGATTCCGTCACCTTTTAATTCCCCATCATTAAGCATGGATCCAGTATCACCAAATGTTTAAGGTATGTCCACAACATTAAAAAGTGAGAGAAAAATTAAATAGAGGGGAAGTAATCAATACATGAAGTCTTAGATTAAAACTCTATAATAATTTCCCAAGAGGTAAGAAAACATGGTAGGGCCCTTAAGAGTTCCATGCTCTCATAAAAGGCATGTAATCACAGACTATGCTAAAGGTCATAAGTACTGTTATGACTTAAATATGAAGTGTCCCCTGACAAGTTCATATTTTGAATGCTTTGTTCCCAATTCATGTTGCAATTCTGGAAAGTTGTAGAAACTCTAGGAGGCAGAGCCTACATAGAGGAAGTAGGGCATTGGGGGGTGATCTTCAGGGATATGATGGATAGTCTTCGTTGGCAGCTTGGTGGGCTTTAGAATTGCCATGAAATAAACTTCCGGTAATGTCCATGAGGAAGATTCTAGATTAGGCTAACCAAGGTGAGAGGCTCCACCGTAAGAGTGAAATATAACATGGTGGCTGGGACTGAATGAAAAGGAGAAAGGAGTTGAGCCTCAGTAGTCAGCACTCCCTGCTTCCTAAGTGTGGGTGCAAGGTGACAAGCTGCTGCAAGCTCCTGTTGCCAGGACATCTCTAACAGGATGGGCTGTCTCCTTGAACTGTGAGCCAAAATGGATCCCTTCCTTCCTTCCTTCCTTCCTTCCTTCCTTCCTTCCTTCCTTCCTTCCTTCCTTTCTTCTTCAAGTTGCTCCAGTCCCAGCAATGTGGTTAGTTTATTTTCTCTGACCATTTCTTGTAACACTCTCTGAATCATGACCTTCCAAGGTGTGACACATGCCTTTCCATCATGCCTTCTCAGCCAGGACTAACTGAGCTCTTTGAAATCATGAGCCAAAATAGACTTTTATTTTTTCAAGTTGTCTATTTCAGGAAATTTGGTCACGATGGCAAAAAAGATTAATGTTAATACTAAGTGATTTATATTTGCATTTTGATGAAAAACATAATCTCTCTCTCACTACACACATTTTAGGAAGCAAAACTTCCAGGTCAAAGAGTTATCAGCAGCCCAGGACAATGACAGCAAAGAAGTCCAGCTGAATCACTTTGAACACTCATCATTAGACTTTGGCATTATTGGGACAAAAGGTGATTTTAAAGTGTCAAAAGAGAAAAAAATGGCAGGGCCAGTGTGCATGAGGTTAGGTACACAAAACGTCATTGCCTTACTTTCACCGTCTGTGCGAGCCAACCTCAGAGTCTTTTAGTCATGAGAAGCTGATTCAAAGTCTTGAGGCTCTTCCGAGGGAAAATAGTGTCAGCAAGGTCAGTTGGTAGGTTATTTATATAGGTCAATTCTGGACCTTTGGAATAGTCTTGAATTTGCTAAGTCCCGAAGAAGCAATACTATCTGTGGGTTGGAGTGCTCATTCAGTTGTCAATCTGCTTACCTTACAAGCTAGAGGACTTGAGTTCAATCTTCCAGAACCCATTTTTTAAAAGATAGGCACTATCATGTTTTTGTAAACTCAGTGTGTCTGTAATCTCAGTGCTGAGGAGGCAGAGACAGAAGATCCCTGGGGCTCATTGGCCAACCACACTAACCTATTTAGCTAGTTCCAAGTTAGTGAGACACCTTGGTTCAAAAGACAAGGTGTGTGGCATTTGAGGAATGGCAGCCAGATTACCCTCTACCCTCCACAGACACCTGCACAGATAGAACGCGCACATATATTTACATATAAACATGCATACAAATACAAATTGTGAGTGTCTGTGTGTGTGTGTGTGTGTGTGTGTGTGTGTGTGTGTGTGTGTGTACTCATGGAGGCCAGAAGAAGGTGTGTGATCTCAGGAAGCTGGAGTAGCAGGCAGTTATAAGCCACCAGACATACATGCTGTAACAGAACTCAGGTTCCCTGGCAGAGCAGCCAATATTCTAAAATGCTGAGGCATCTCCCTAGCCCCCATATTTATTTTGTATCTTGTGAAATGTGATGAGTTATCAACTTTTGTTTAGCCTATCCTGTTACCCTGTTGTTTTTATTCTTAACAGTTTTTATTCTTAACAGACTCTTAGCATTCTTTGTATGTAATTTTATTTGGCTTCAGAGAAGTGGATATAAACATACACTTGAATTCTGCTGTGTTTATAAACCAATGGCTGCAACTCCCAGGAGAGCCTGAGCAGTAATGTGACTTCATTTTATGAAACTAACACTGGGATTTCTCTCACTTTAAAGAAAAGAATTGACTTGGTCAACTACTATCAGTTTAGAACTTAAAAAAAAAATAAGTTCTTTTTCAAAGGACTTTAACACTTAAGTGTGCTGCAACAATACTTGTCAGCGTTTGTGGGCTAGTCAAATAGCCTGGGAACTTCAGTTACACTTTCTGCTTTAGAGCTGCAGTGAAGCTCATGCTACAGTCCTTGCCTAGAATGCTCAAGGCTCTAGGTTTGGCCTCCAGCATTAAAAAGAAAAAAAAAAAAAGCAGGGTGCTGGAGAAATGGCTCAGTAGTTAAGAACTCTTGTTTCTTCTTCAGACATCTCAAGTTTAGTTTCCTGCACCCACTTCAGCAGCTCACAACTACTTGTAACTGCAGTTCTAGGGATCATATTGAGACCCTCTTCTGGCCTCCACAATCACCGCGCACGCATGCGCGCGCGCGCACACACACACACACACACACACACACACACACACCCCTGTGGAAACTAATGAGAACACATACACATACATTTTAAAGCTAAAGAAATGAAGTCCTTACATTTCCATTTTATTTACCCACATGGATGCCTTTAACTTGAATTATTGAGGATGTTTTCTCAATTCTTCACTGAGCCCATTTGCTCTTTAGTTTATGAGAACTGAGGTAAATTACTCACTGGCTGTGGTTGACCTCTTTGTAGTCCATACCATTTGGGGTCTGTACTTCTCCCTGGCAATGGACTGCAGGCCAAAGCCCTGAGGGTTTGTGGTGAAAGCCCAAATGAGGGGCAAGTTTCAATATAGCTGGTGTGTTTCCCCTTGTCCTTTGGGAACTGTGATTTATCTCCTTGGTCTTATATTTCAACTTGTTTCACAGATCATTATTAGAAAATGAATTATTCAGCTGTTTTCTCTTCAAGACATCTTTAGCTGTCAGAGTATCAAGAAAACAGGAATAAGTCAGTCACATTTTATAATTTTAGTCTCTCAGATTTGTCAGGATGCAATGAGTTTCCACCAGTCTCTATGGCAAAATACATAATGAAATATTTTTTCTTCTTGTGGCAAAATATATACACAACATCAAATTACAATGAAGTATATTTTGACAGGCAATATATATAAACCTTGGGAAGTCACACCCCATCTGGGTCTTGATTTCATCGGCCATAAAATGGTATTTGGGACTAGTTTCTAATGTCCATATATATTTTCCCAAAGCAGCTTTATTAATATATAATAATATATTACATATTATTGGCATGCCATATAATTCACCCATTTAAAGTACAGAATTCAACAGCTTCTTATATATTCCACTTTTTAAGTTGAAATAAACTCATTTAACAAAGTTTGTTATTTTAACCACTTTAAGCATACCAACCCATGGGATTAATTTCACTCACAATGTCTCAAAATCACTGCCTCCATTTCTAACATTTTATCATCATCCTCATGTAGATAGAGACTCTGATCTCTGTAGGTACAACACACTACAATTAGTCTATTTGAAACAAAGCCAGTCAAAGGCCTTCAAAGCCTCACAGAAAGGAGACTAATTTTAATTCCTGCTCATAGTGCCATTAGGCCTGTTGTGAGCAGTTATTCATTTATACACACTCAGAGCATTGTTCTAAGCCCATCACGGGTACATTAATGGCTCTAAAGAAAGTTTGAGACAAGAGGAGAGAATAAAATGTGGGGGTTTCATTTGGATCTTGTGATTATGAGCCATCAGGGTTTTCTTATTCCTATCAGCAGACTTTTAACTTTCAAACAAAGCTCAAAAACACCTCTCAAAAATGTTGAACATCAGTTGGTGGAAGGTGCAGGCTTTGGAGGCTATATCCATATGCTCTTCCCAGGAAGTAACTAAAATCTGTGATGGACAGTCTTTCTCTTGAGTTCTGCCATACAGTCATGGTCTGTGACCCAGGAACTGGCATACCAACTTCTTTGTCCCCAAGACTCTAGTCAACATTATCTTTACACATTGGGATACCTTCTCAGAATTGTTGCTGGCTTGGCATGTCCATGAGATCTGGGAGGAATAAAATAAGAAAGGTTATGGCTATATGGGTGTTAACCACATTACTGGGGCTGGTTGTTGGCAGAGTTGCTACCCTTTCTTCCCTGCTCTTCTCAAGTCCTTCCCGAATGCTGCTTCCTGGCAATGAGACCTTGTAGCAGTAAGTACCAGGCTCAGGGAATCAGTGTCAGTAGCCCTAAAGTAAGATGAGTTGCTTTTAGAATTTCTTCCCCTTTGCTACTCAAAGACTGCATCTCTGTGTGTTGGGGATATGGGGGGAACTAAAAACACATGCAATAAAGTTCCTTCAAGTTCTGAAACTCTGGATTATTGCTGGTAGCATTTGTGGACACATATACCCTTACACAACACAAAACGTGGTCTTAATCAGACTTGTTCACACAGATCTGGATTCAAGTTGGGTCCCTATGCTTTAACATAGTTTGACGGTTTGATACATTCCACTACATGTTAGACATTATTGTTATTTCTTCTAAAAATAGCAACTGCCACAATTTTTGCAAAGTGAACAAAAAGTTCTGGGCTCACTCCCAGCTCTGCCTCTCCATATCTGTATGACTTTGGCATTTAACCTCTCTTGGACCTTGGCTTACTGATCAAGGATGGTTTAAATGCCTTTGAAAGATTTAAGATTCTTAGAAAATTTCTTTCCCTCTTCTAATCAAAAGTTTCTTGTGAGATTATTTTCATGGGCTTGCAGTTGCTTAGGAACACTGGGAGACTAAAAGGCAGCCTGGGTTAATAGTAGGCAATGCATGGAACCAGGCATTCAGCCTCTGAGGTCTGAGACACTATTTTACATCACCTTGAAACTGATATGGAGGCCTAGATCACTTTGTGGCAACTGTATGGCTAGGTTTGCCTAACAAAATTAAAGATGGTTATCTATGCCTTCTTTTTGCTATCAAGGAATGACCCAAGGAATAGTGGAATACATTTATGAAAGCAATTTTATTTTGCTGAAATAAGGTGGCCTTTACCAAATGGAAGGTCATAGTTATTTTATGAGTGAGAGAATCACAAGGAAACCCTATAACTGACAAGGTTAAATCATGTCATTTTTCTATCAAAGCTGAGATCTCTGTGGGCATTTATTGAAGTGGGGGTTTATTTTGTACCTGGTTGAGAGTAGGGAAGTGACCTATGAAACATTATAGTGTTCTTGTCTCTGCACATGAATTTTCAGACTGTGTGTTTTGCTTCTCTGGACATGTCACAATTTTTACTCTTGTAACATGGACCTATACAGTGTTTTGTATCATGCTGTATGGGTTTCTTAACCAACTGTAAAACAGGAAATGCAAAGTACAGAGTAATGGTGAAAGGAATGTCTGCAAGTCTTCTACAGCCTGAGCAGAAAGAACAAATTACAGAAGCCTTGCCAAAGCAACCAGGAGTGAGTCTGCTGGCATTCAAGGAGAGTGACTGTTACTTAGGTAAAGGCAGGGAGAACACAGGTAGGTGGGGAAGAAATAGAGAGGTAGATAGAGATAAAGGAAGAACTAGAAAGTGAAAATGAGAGACAGATAGATGATAGATGATTGATAAATATAGACAGATAATAGGTAGGTAGAGAGATAATAGATGATAGATGACAGAAGATAGATAGATAGATAGATAGATAGATAGATAGGTAGATAGATATAGACAGACAGACAGACAGACAGATAGATGATAGATAATGTCTATGGAAAGATCCAAATTCCCATGCATATAAGTAAGACCTAATCTTTTCATCCCATTCCCCAGAGCATGCCCTCCTCTGTCACTCCTACCTATTTTCTGGACCATACTTCTACCCAGAGTTCTAACTTAGATACCTAACAGCTTCATCACATTTCTCTTATTTCAACTGACCATCCTGGTACTGAAGCTAAATAGTCTATAGCCAATCCAACAGTTCCCTGGCCCTCTCCCTGCATGTATCCACTCAGAAATGATGAGTTGGCACTAACTATACCCCTGAGCGATATTGTACCATCAAGAAAGTTGAAGATACTGAAACATGGCCTGGGACACACACAACTCTGTTGAGACAAAGAAGCAAACCAGCAACCACAAAAAGCTCAGAAAGAAGTCCTCCTTATCCTATCTCTTCTCCAAGTCCAGAATGCGTTTTCTGTCTCCAGTCCTTCAGTTCAGACGTTTGCTGGCCTGAACAAGTATTATTTTCTGGGTGAGTACTTCCATATTCTAGTATACTCTACTTATTTCAATAGTAATTATTTTAAAGATAGGATGGGGCTGCCACACAGCACCTCCCCGCATGTCTTTCTCTACAGTTGACTACACTTGGTTTAGTCAGCAGTGGAAGAATTGAGGCATTATGCTGGCCTGCCCCTGTCACCTGGCAGAATGCACTCAGGCAGTACCCTGGTCAGCCCTGGGTTCCTTGACTACTAGTCTGCATGGCAGGTACAAAGGACTCCTTTAAAAGAAAGATCCCAGCACACTTATGCTCTCTTTCCTGCTGTTCCCCTGGGACAGACAGGACTTTTGCTGCCTCCCTCTTCTCTTCTGTCCTCTCTCTGTCTCTGTGTCTCTTTACCTTATTTTCTTTCTTCCCCCTCAATAAAACTTTCAATATGAGTCACATCTCCATCTGCCCACCGTCCATCACCCTCTCCTGGGCTGAGATCCTTGGGGTATGTTGGGACCTGCCACTTGGGTTCCCAACCCATGCTGTATTATTTCTACCAACCAAAGCTTTTGTGGCCTTGAGAATATGACTTCTCTGTCTAGAAATGTCTTAAGTAGTGAATTACTATTTGTAATGCAAAAGGGCATTTTAATAGTCATTCTTCCACGAGGCCTTTCTCAAACTCTCAGATGAGAGTTGATAGTGCTGAAGTATATTTTTATATCTGTTTTAATCATCTATCATGTTAAGTGTGTGTGTGTGTGTGTGTGTGTGTGTATTAAAGCACAGTGTTTTTGCTTATTTGTTTATTTTGTGTGTTTGTTGTTTGTAAGCATCCCAGGGCTGTAAGGAGCACACCTTTTGGAAACTCTAACCCCTTGCTCATAGAGATTTAAGAGCATGATGCTGGTATATGGCCTCATGGTGGATGGCATAAAAATGATAGAGAAGAGATCATACTGAGAGACGGAGGAGAGAAGAGAAGGAGGAGGGAAAGGAGGAGAGTTGGGGTAGCCAGGCTTGTTGGATGACCCATTCTTGCGAAAGCTAATCAACTCCTTGAGAGCAGCATCAGACCCTTCTGAAAGCTCCCTCTCCAGGATCCTTGTTGCTTCCCACTGGGTTCCATTTTTAAAAGTACCACCACTAGGACCAGTCTTCTGACATGTGACCATTTGATGGTCACACTCAGACAGTAGCAGTTGTCATGGTTTCCCTTTTCCTAATGCCCAGCTGATTTCATCTACAACTGTGACAAATCAATAGTTTTTGTACCCTAATCTATGTTGGGTATGGGTATGCCAGAGTTATTTACCTGTTTTATTAATTAACATTTAAATTTTATTCTATTTTTTTAAAGTATAAACAGTTTACGTGAAGAATGTTTTTAAAGGTTAGAGATGATGAGCTTCTGGGTGATACTGTTCACTGACCTGACATTCATCCAGCATCCATTACATGTCCGGCACTGTGCTCTTTCCAACATCACTCATTACAACAGCAAACTATCTGTTCACAAGATGCAGATGAGAGTTTGGCATGAGCTTTCCATCCCATAATATACTTCATCATGAGAGCTATTGTTTCAGGAAGGCTCACTCTTTGCCAGCTACTGTGCAGGGCATTTAAAAGCACTTATCCAGTTTTCTCAATGTACAAATAAAGCAACTAACTCTTAGGTAGCTAAGTGACCTGTGGTGAGACATATAAATGATAAGCCATGAAACTGAATTCATTCACAAATATTTGTTCAATACCTACTAAGTACTGGTCATTATTATTCCACAGCTACATTCAGAAGTCATACAAAGGTGATTTAACCAGATATGAGTCCTGTACTTTTACCACAGGCATAAATAAGAGAACAAAGACAGACACATGCAATTATAAATTGTGACAAGTGCTGTAATGAAATTGATTGAGGGCAATGCTTGAGAGTGGTAGGAGTGTGGTTGGGAGGAGAATGGGTTAAACCAGTAGGCCTTTCAAAGGAGCTGACATTCTGCTGACACCATGAGTTGAGAAGGCTGAGTTCTCCCAGGCACAGCCCACAGCTGCTGGAAGGCTCTGGAGGGAAAATGCTTGACACACAGAGGAATCACGGGATGCTAGCGTGTCTAGTGAAACTGCTACAGCAGGGGTGTCTGGTGAGGGCACAAAGAAGGGAGCTCCACCCGGGGCAGGAAACCACCCGGGCAGGAATCTACCCCGGCAGGAATGCTGGGCGATGAAGAGGAGCACAGATTATATTTGCCACACAGTGGGGCAGCCTTCAGGGTCTCAAACAGGGGGCCACATGTCCTTTTATTTTGATTCATTTTGCTTTTCAGGGGGCTGGTGTAGAACTTGAGATCCTTCTACCTCAATCTCCTGAGTGCTAGGAATCCAGGAGTGTTCTTATGCATGCCTTTAAGTAGTCATTTTGACTTTTCTGTAAAGGGTTAAAGAAATGACAGAGGGGAATGTTGAGATAGGCTATCTGGACATTTCAATATCTGGTGAGAGATGACCAGGGTCTGGATTAAGGTGGCTATATTGAAAAGGAAAGTGTAGATCTCTCTCCCTCTTCTCTTGCTTGTTCCCTTCCTTCCTTCCTTCCTTCCTACCTTCCTTCCTTCCTTCCTTCCTTCCTTCCTCCCTCCCTCCCTCCCTGCCTCCCTCTCTTCCTCCTTTCTGCCTTTCTTCCTCCCCTCCTTCCTCCTTTCTTACCCCTTCCTTCTTCCCTCCTTTCCTTACTGCCCCTTCTCTTCTCTCCCGTCCTTCCCTCTCCCCTCCCATCCTGTCATCTTCCTCCTCACTCTCTGCTTGTTACTTGGTGATATAAATGAAATTTCAGTGTGATTCCAAAATCTACCTGTCTTCCTGTGCCATAGAAAGTCTATCCCACTGTCTGAGAATGGAGATATACTATAGAAAATTGAATTTCTAGAATCTTAAGAGCTCTCTTATGTTAGCTCCTGGAAGTTAAATGCTCTCCTTTCAAAGGACCTGCCGATTCCTTTTGACTCTCATGACATCAGCCACATTTATGGCTCACTGGTAAGGCATTCTGCAGATGGGGACTGTGTGCATTGTTCTGTCTTAGGGGAACATTGCTCATGCTGACTCCTGACTTCATGCATTTTGCAAATGCACAGCTCAGAGACTGTGACTTCCTGCTGTTTGTGGTTTCCAATGCTGCAAGGGAAGACTTTCTATGAGGCAAAACCTGATAATGGTCTATTATTTTAAGAAACAAAGAGTTGGGCGGCAGAGGATTAGGGAAGCAAGCCAAAATGCTTTGAATCAATTGTTGCATTTATATGCTCCAAAATGGCATTTCCTTTCAGAATGTGTTTTTCATTGTTTTCTTCCTTTTCTCAAAACTATGATCCTTTACTACCAGACAATAAGAAACTACAAAGAATGAAACATACAATCCCACTCACCCAAAGACATTCAATGTAAGGCCCTGTAATGTTTATGACTGTAACTTCAAAACAATTGATTTTATTTTCACCAACATTAAAAATCAATCCTGTTCATTATTGATAGCTTAGGTACTGTATAAATTAGGAAAAAATAATTCATCATCTGTAGGCAGCTGGTGATAACATTTTAATATTTAAGTCTTTTTAGTCAGTTCTATACTACCTACTCATTTTGTAACTAATATTACTATGAATACTTTCCCCATTATTAACAAGCTTCTCATAAGTATTATATTGAATCACTGCATAAAATGGTCATCCGTGTTTACTACAATGTGCCAGAATTCCTAATCATAAGATAGTCACTATATGAACTTAAAAACATTGCTGATTGGCATTTCCTCTGAGAATGATGTGGGTCAGTTAACATTCATGGAATGGGTCTCATCATTTCCTTCCTGTTGATTTAGTTTATTTTTTCAATGTATGTAGTTTCTGGATGAAAATGTTTACCTGTCTGTATACCTGTATGGCTAATTTCCCTTTCCAAGATCAAGACTGCTGCCATTTAGTTCTTACCCACCTCCACGCCAAGCTAGTACTTTCATCTTATCAAAGCTGTCTTTCCTCCTCTCCTTCTTCTTTTCATTCTGCATAGCACCTTGGCTCCCAGCATACATTCTCTGAGTGGAGCTTATGGCCAATCAGACCGGTCCATATTTTTAGTCACCATGTTTGGGTCAGGGGCAGGCATGTGAACAATCCAGAGGGTGATTCTGGGAGTTATATGTAAAGAGGATTTTTTCCCCCTTAGATGCAAGTTGAGTGGACGATTTATTCACCATCTTCTTGAAGCTATTGTGGAGACATGGTGCTTGCATAGCATTGGACAAACACACAGGTAAGAAAAGCTGAGGGATGTAAAGCACACTGTCTGGGCTCCCGGCCATGACTATAGAATCTGCAGGCTTCTCTTCAATGTCCTTCACCATGTTTTGTCTTATTGTTCAAAGCAGAGGTTCCTTCAGGAAAGACTGATTGTGGAGTAAATATTAGCACTGTGTTCTTCATAACGAGAACTGTGTTCACACCTATAGCTTTCTTATGGATGGGGACACATGGGTGGTGGCAAAGTGCACGTCCTCAATATATGTCTAAATAGTAAACCTTGGAAGTGAGTAAGTCAGCCAATGGCACAGCATTCTTAACCAATTCTGTCTTGGAGTCAGAGTTTTATTTCATTAACGTATTAATTGTTATTAATTATTGTCCTGGAACTATGTACATCAGGCTGAGATTCACCTGCATCTGCCTAGCAAGTGCTTGAATTAAAGTCATGCACAACCATTCCTGGCCTTGGATCCAGAATTGTAAAACCCAGACCAGTAACTAAAAGAATAGATAAAGAAGATTGACTCATGACATTTATTTTATTTTTTAGAAGAGAGAGAGAGAGGGAGAGAGAGAGAGTAGGTCAGAGAACAACTTGGTGGGAGATGTTTCTCTTCTTCTACTGTGTGTGATCCAGGAATTTAACTAGAGTTATCACTTGGTGTCAAGTGACTTACTGAGTCATTTGGCCAGTCTCAGTGCATGGCATTTAATTTAAGACTGCTATTAAGATTTCTAGTCTTTTGCTTGTATACTATGTATTTCCAATTTTATGTTTTTATGATTTTTTGGATGTGTGTCTCTGTGTACATACATGTTTCTTTGCTTTTTCTTTGTATTATGCTGCCTTTTGTTTGTTTCTTTCTTTCCTAAAGAAAAAAAAGTGCGGAGTTAGGTGGGTGAGGATGTGGGAAGGATCCAGGGAGAGATGAGGGAGGGGAAACTGGGGTCAGAACATATTGTATTGGTAATATTATTTTTTCTTGGTGGGATCAGATTCAGTGAGTTGAAATGCAATCTTGGTGGAATCAGGTTCAGTGAGTTGAAATGCAAGGTCTCATCTAGTGCTGAAAATGGTCACAACTGTCACTACTGCTTTTCAAAGTATCACCTTCGAATACCCAGCACTGCCCCTGTTGGGACCAAATCTTAGGACACATCCTTATTTATACCACCACTGACTGGTCCCTGTCCTCCTCTCCATCGTTCTGGATAGAGGCTCAAGAGTGTCCCTGACAAGAATGATAATCCCAAGGCATTCAAGTCATAAAACTCATCAGGTATTACATCAGTGTCTTGTCTTAGGGTTTCTAAGACCCATGACCACAGCAACTCTTACAGAGGAAAACATTTATTTGGGGCTGCTTCTAGTTTTAGAGGTTTAGTCCATTAACATCATGGCAGGACACAGGGCATGCAGGCAGACATGGTGCTGGAGAAAGAGCTGAGAGTAATACATCTGGATCTGTAAGCAACAGGAAGTGAACTGTGCCACTGGGCATATCTTGAGCATAGGAGACCTCAAAGCCCACCCCCACAGCGACACACTCCCTCTAACAATGCCATGCCTACTCTAACAAAGCCACACTTTCTAATAGTGCTGCTCCCTTCGGGGGCCATTTTCTTTCAACTACCACAATTAGGCTATGTGCCATTAACCTGCCCTAGAAGGTAAATTAATTACCTAAGATCATACAGCCTGGGCACAAACTAAGTATGAACCTGTTTCATGCTTATGTAAGATCCCTTCCTCTGTACCTATGGCCTTGAAACTTGTATGCATGTTTAGCTCTCCCAAAGGAGCAACACTATGGCAGACTCATTAACCTGAACAGTAAAGGCAGTTTCTCAAAAAGTCATTTGATTTTAATATGTAGCGAAGTTTGGAACCACTGCATATTCTGTTTGTTCTTAACTGTTTAAGGCCCTTTGTGACATCAATCCAAAATGTTAAGACAGTTTCCAGTCCAGGCAATGCTTTTGATATGGGAACAGCTGGATTTCCTAATACTTGTTGCTTAGACAGACAGACATGATGAAATGTCGTATTACTTGTAATTAACTCACCCTAATATATTAAAGGTTATTCCAATGATATTTTATTGGACACCATATTTCTCTGAGGAAACAAATTAGATAAGAAAAGCCACTCATTTGAGATCATCCAAGCAGTGAACCCAGGTTTCTGACTCTAAATTATTTATCCTACATTGTGTTTCCTTCTTTAAAATATTATTATATTGAATACACACTCATACTGAGTACAAAATATAAAAAGTGCAGTGAGTTTGATGGCTAGTTTCAATTGTCAACTTGACATAATGTAAACTCACCTGGACAGAGTGTCTCAATGAAGAACTGTCTAGACTAGGTTGGCTTGTGGTCATGTCTGTGTGGAATTGTCTTGATTATGTAGATTATATAGGCTGGTCAGAACCAGCCTACTGTGGGTGGCACCATCCACTGTGCTTGTTTCTTGGACTGTGTAATACCCAACAGTTGCTAGCTTAGCAGTCATACACCATAGCACCTTTACTGTCTTTGGTGATACTCTCTATCTCAGACTACACAGGGCTGCAGAGTCCACTGTGTTGATGTGCCCTCTAATATTTGGTCATTTTCATTTTGACTAGTATATTGTTTACAGGTTTTTGGCCTTACAAATTATCCTACAATAAATTCCCCTAGGCATACATTATTTCTTCGTGTGGCAGAATAATCTGGGAGCTCAATTACTAGAAATAAACTCATCAGCAAAAGGAAATGTTCATTTAAAATTCTGATAGATCTTGTCAAACTCTGTACATGAGCTGTGATGTTCCTCCCTGCCTGTAGCCATCTATGAAAGTAGTGTTTTTCCACATTCTTGGTACAGTGTGTTATAGTTTTTTTTTTCAAATCTTTACTGATCTGATTGGAATTTTAATTTGCACCCAGAACTTTTAAATTTAAGAGCTTGAGGGGTCTGAACTGCAGTGTGAGATTGTAAAATCTGGAGCATTTGAGCCATTGACTATTTCCATTTTGGCACAGTAATTAACATAGCCCTTTCTTTAAAGTAGAATGATTTCTGAAGTTTGGCATCTTGCAACCCTAACAGACTCCCTGGTATGTGTGCATTTCAAAAGAAGAGTCCTGATGATTATATAGACATTATTCTCTATAGGAGTGATCATATGTGTGTATATAATCTCATTCATAGTCAGTATGCCTAACAGCTTATAAAGTATACATTATAGCCTCTGTGTTGAGGAATGGGGTTCCAAGTACTCACACAAAGTCACAGGCATAGTTATGAGGCATTTATAGCCTTAGCACTCTACTTAGAGTCTGCTCTTTTCCTTTTTCTGTACCATGTTAATTCTAAATAGGACATAATAGAACATATTTTCTACAACTATACAAATTCCTGATGTTCAGGAAACTTATTCTATCAATGGCCACAGTTAAAGAAGTAAACCTCATCTCCCCAGTTGTTAAAACAAATTCAATTTTTAGTTCAGGTCTCCCACAGGATATTGATGGTGATTTAACTTCTTTCCCAGGATTGCACTTCTCACAATGTCTGCCCCAATCCTTTCGTACCTAGATAGAGGCCTGGAGCATCTCACAGCACAAGCTCCTAACCACCTCTTTTAAATTAGCAGGATTTCCTCAAAGAATTTCTTCTACTTCCTTCTCTGTTGTCTTTTTCCTCACCCCCATTTTTCTTCCCCCTCTTCCCTTATCTAAAATAAAAATAAGCAACACATTTGTAATATGGCATCTAAACTCGTAAATATTCACACGTGAGCTGCATTAACTAGAAACACACCATTGCACAGATCTCAACACCTTTTCCATCTTGCAAACTTTATACAGCAACTTCCCATTATGCCCTCCACCAGCCCCCTGCTCTCTGTCCAAAGTCGCTTGCTTTAGATGTGTTGTATAAGTGGAGCACTGTGATGTTTAGCATAATGTCCTCAAGATCCATTTTCTTCTGTGTCCTTTGTGCTAACACTTCCCAGTTCTCTTGAAATTTGAATAGATATCTTGTTAAATTTCTGTTTCTTAATTTTATTTATGTACCCAGTGACTCAGCCAAGAAAGAGAGAGAAACAAAGTGGCCAAGAACACAGATTCCATCTGGGCACAGTGGCTCACATCTGGAATCCCAGCACTTGGAAAATGTAAGGAGGATCAGGAGTTCAAAGCCATCCTGAGCTACATAGAAAATTTGAATCCACAATTTGAGACCCTATAAAAATTCAACTTATGAATTATAAAGACAGAAAGGGTTTAAAGTTTGTTTTTAAATACAGATTATAACCAGGTGTAGTAGCTCATACATGTAATCACAGCACTTAGGAGGCTGAAGCAGGAGGATTACATAAAGTGTGAGGCCAGAGTAGATTACAGAGTGAGTTCCAGGCTAGCCTAGGTTATGGAATGAGACTTTGTTTCAAAAAAAAGTGAGTGAGAAATAGATTCCTTTATGCAAAGACACATATGATATAATAAATGCGTATTTATTAACACTTAGGACCATCAATAGATGTCTTCTTTAAAAAGAATGCTTTGAGCTAAAAAGTGAACTGAACTGGAATCCAGTTGTAGAGGAGTGATGAGCAAAGGGGTCAAGACCAGGGTGGTGAAACCCACAGAAACAGCTGACCTGAACAAGGGGAGCTCTTGGCCCCCAGACTGATCAGTGGGAAACCAGCATGGAACTGATCCAGATCCCATGAATGTGGGTGTCAGTGAGGAGGCCTTGGAAGTATATGGGGCCTCTTGTAGTAGAGTAGAACTTATCCCTAGCATAGGAATGGACTTTGGGAGCCCATTTCACATAGAGGGATACTCCCTGAGCCTAGACACAAGGGGGAGGGCCTAGGCCTTATCCCAAAAGATATGACTCTGAAGGAACCCCCATGGGAGGCCTCATTCTCCCTGGGGAGCAGAAATGGTATTGGACAGGTAGGGTGTTAGTGGGGGGCAAGGGAGGAGCGGAGGAAGAGGGAACAGGGA